ATTGTTCACAACGCGGATTCCGGCTACACACAAGGTAAAATATCTACGTTAAAAGCAAGTTGTAGTTTCAATTTAGTTCAAAGCAAATTAATGGATGATAAAGTGGCGTAGCGGGTATTTCAAGAAGGTAGGCACGATTTCTACCAATAGCAGCCTTCCACTTCCTATTCTTCTTCATCCATTCTCCAATCCATTCCTCTACACGTGGTATGCTTTTTTGGTTTGCTGAATTTGACGTTTATTCATCTCCCACCGTTTTGCTATTTTAATATAGTAGGGAAAACAAAAATTAAATTTTAGCATTTTCAATAGGAATAATTAAAATTTGTATTGTAATTAAAATTTTGACGACAATTTAAGAAATTTAATGTATTTGTAGTTGTAAATTTGGTAGGTGGATTATGAATATTATCCTTTTTCTGTTTCATAATATTAAATTTCGTACGGAAGTCAACAAATGTGGCAAAGAAAAAGTCTATGTTACCCGCTTTTTTTGAAACCGCCTACTTTTTTTATGAGAAAGAGGAAATCGGTTTGCAGAAGTTCAGTAGGCAAATTTTTTGGACATTTCACCGCCTACATTCTTTACTCCGGAAAGAGGAAAGAGAGGGATAAAATGAGAAAAGTAAAATACGTCCTGAATGAATAATAACCTACGGATTACCTCTTTTATATTAGTAATGATATATATATATTTTATTGGACATCGGTGGTGTCAACTTAATAGGGCAGATCAAATAATGTTAAACGTTCTAAACAATCTTCTCATGAGTTTGACCTAGCTTGAATTCTATAAATGGTCGAGAAAGCACATTATTGGTGGCCATTTTGACCCACGTGCTTCACATCCTTCTACGTATATGTTAATTATTGGCGTCGAAGTGCAAACAGTCATTATACTTTTTTCCTGAAACGACAGTTTTTGTCTCTAATGGGGTGTTTTGAGCAAAGAATGTATAGGTGGACAAGGATGAGACATGGAGATGCTGACCACTCGATCCCGATGGATTTTAAGATCCACAAGTTGTAGAGTTAATCGCTTCATAATAATTTAAAAAAACAAACAAAAAAAAAAAAACTTTTCAATCTCAATTAAAATTTAAAAAGTCACGTGACATTTGAATGTCCAACTTTATAAAGTTAGATTTTGATGGCTTTAATGAAATTGGGCAGTCAATCAAATTAGACCGAAACAACAATAAACAGACTTAATGCTCTACCAAACACGTCATTATCAAACTTAACTCTTTGTGATTTTTAGTGTAGGAATTGCTTTTTCATTCGGAGGACCATTTTCTCCATCTTTTCCCTATTCGAGGTTAGAAACATTATTCCAATATGCAATGCTTATAACCAGAAATGGTTATTTTTTGGACCGTTTCTTTTATACAGATCTTGTGATAATTATTCAATTATGAATGCGATGAAGTTATATGCTTGAAAATGAAATATTCCAATTGCAAAAATGTTAGCACGTGTAATTGGATAAGATTGGATAGTATAGTCTAATATTAGATTATTTTAACTTGAAAGAATGTTCTCGTTTTTACACCGATGGGAGGTAAGGCTCGATTCGTCATCCTACATATAGTGTGTTTTTATATATATATATATATAAAAAAATAGTGGAGTAAAACAATACGCGATGATTTTAGGAGCCTGTTTGGTATAGATTTTCATTTTCTACAATAAATCAATTTTCATTTTCAACCACATATTTTTCAATAAAATAATATTTTCCATCACATCAATAATTTTTTCTTCTTTTTCAACCACACATTTCCCATCATATCACTATTCAAAAATCAATTCTTCCCCAAATATTTTCAACCACACATTCTTCAATAAAATAATATTTTCCATCACATCAATACTTTTTTCTTCTTTTTCAACCACACATTTCCCATCATATCACTATTCAAAAATCAATTCTTCCCCCAAAAATCCCTATCAAACACACTCCTAGATTTTAAATTCGCAAAAAAAAAATAAATAAATAAAAATAATCAATGATATCATGGATTATATAGACATGTATACAAGACATAGAATAGTCCAAGTGGGTTGTTGGGCATTTTCTTGGTAATGGGATCAAGGCCTCTTAAAGCACCCAAATTTGTTTTGGTACAAGCAATGACACCTTTGGCTAGGCCTACAAAAGTATTACTTTTCAAATAACCTTTTATCTTCATAATATATTTAAATGGCTTTTTTTTCCTCTTTTTAAGTTTGGTCTTAGGTTACTACCAAGATAAGTAAATTGAGTATTTTCAACTTTTTCGCAATAAAATATTGTTTATCTTTTAGCCTTTATTTGAGCCCCATCTTTAGGGATAATTAGATTTTGGTATAGTGAATTTTTTTGTGGAGAATGTATAGTTAAAAATTAGAAATAAATTTTAGATTTACGTGAACAACATTTTATTGTGTAAATGTGTGATTGAAAATGATTTTTGAAAAAATGGAAATCAAACATGGGCTTAGTCTAAAGTGAACTTTTCAAATTTAACCAAATATGCCCTTTGGTGAATGGTCGAGGTGACGGAGGTAGATTTATTGATTTTATTCGACTCCCACTCATAGAACGGTATCGTTAAGAGTAAATGTGAGTCCACCGGAACAACTACTATCTCTTGTGAGTTATCTCTTTTGTCAGGAGGTCCGAGAATAAGGTTTTGATAGGCACCGCACCCTCATCTTAGGATCAGAGTACTTGTTTGATAGAGTCATCCTTCTAGGCTAACCTAAAATGGATGTGCTTGCCCTGTCCACTCATCTGACCGAGAATCTCAAATCTGCTTAGCCTTCCATTCAGAAGAAGCCGGCATACTAAGTTTAGTTTCCAATTATGTCCCTTTTATGGAATTGTGAGAGTAAAAATCTCATAGGTTTCAATCACGTCATCCCTACCCATTCTTTTCCTGTGGTGGGATGAAATTTGCATAGTTCTTGTTTGGAGCATAAAATATACTGACTCAGTGTAATATGATTCGTGTCTATTCATCCAAAAATAGCCAAGCTCGATATGGATCGTGCTAGGCTAGGCAAGCCATCCAATCAAATATTTTTTTAAAATATATCTTTGCTTATTTTAGTTAATTTTCTAACAAAAAAAAAAGTTTATACTAGCCCACTTCTTTATATGGGCTGGGCCAAAAAAAGACCTGTTGGACCTCAAGTTGGGAGCTGGATCCCAATATACATTAAATTGACTAAACAGCACTTAAATGGGAAGTTAAAGGAGTGTAACACCTTTTTGTTTATCAATCAGTTGTAACACCTTTTTTTTTTTGGTTGGACCAGCAAAAGAGACGAAGGGTCAAAATGAGTTTTTGAGACCCAAAAATTGCTTTAGACCCTTTTGACTAATTTAGGTTTTAGAGGAAGTGCAATTCTGAAAGTGGAAATGCTTTTAAAAATTAATTTTCAATAAAAAATTAAAGTAACTTCCTTCAAAAGTCTTCTACATGAAGCAAAAGCAATAGTCATGCCAAACAAACCCTAAGAACATATCCAATAGACTTTTTATTTTAAAGAGAATATTTTTTATAATAGTATCTTTAAATTTAAAGAGTATATTTTTTGTACACTTTCCCCAGCATTCATTTATTGTTTGGCTCCATTATTTCAATCTATAATGAGAAGAATAATATTTTTTTAGAGAATGTTCAGTTAAAAGAGAAGGAAAAATTTTTAGATTTATGTGTAATATTATTTTATTAAAAAATGTGTGGTTAATAAGAAGAGAGAAAAAAATTTTAATTTAACGAGGGCCGTACAAGGGCTTAAAAAGAATATTTTTTATAATAGCGATCATCTTTAAATTTAAAGTATATATTTTTTGTACACTTCCCCTTTATTTTACTTTTGTCAACATTCATTTTTTTTTTTTTTCCCGATATTTTCCAATTAATATCTACTTAGATTTCGATCGCTAAAATATTGAATATATATGAACAGTTGAAGAAGTGGAACACAAAAATGTCATTTTACTTTAGTCTTATGTTGACCACCTAGAGGAGTTACTTGCTTTGTCGTAGGTAAATCGTTGCCTCTCAAACTCCTTGACTAATTCTATCATACAAGTCTCTACCTCTATCTACCTCTATAGTCTTGTCATACAACTCCATCACAGGGTAAAATACCATCCCTCAAACTCCCCCTTCCCCGATTGATTATACAATAGAAGGCCGACAATAGACAATAACTCTCCCTTGTAAGAATTAAGGGTGCATGTAGCATCATTTAGTTAGTCATGGCAACGGGTCGACCAGCCCTTAAACCCACGAGCTCGTGGCTCGTGAGAAACTAGCCATGAACTCACGAGCCGAGCCGAGTCGGCTCGTAGCCTCGTGGGCGAGCTCGGCTTAGTCCCCGAGGTCGTGAGCTCACGAGCCGAGCCTCGAGCCCATGAACTTTTTGAATTTTTTTCTTTAATCGTGGGCCTTGCCCACGAGCCGCCCTGCTCGGCTCTCGCGGGTCGTGTTTTCACAAGCCGACGAGCCATTCGGCCCATTTGCCATCTCTACATTTAGCTAGCCCTTTAAGTTGAAACTTACAATTTTATTAAATGCAATTTTTATTAAATACAAATAAAAAGTGAGTTTGACCTTTTACATTTGGCAAGCCAAACTCGTTCTGTATTTTAAAAAATTAAAACAGTCTCTTATAGTCTAATTTTAATATTTGACTTTTTAAAATAAATAGCATCTTATTTTTAAAAAGTCTCAAAGATAAAAACGAATTGCAAAATTCAAAATCACAAGCCATCTGATCGATTTAAAGATCTTGTCTGAACATTCCAAAACATTGACGAAGCACAAGCTCGTAGCACCAAGTAATCTACAAGGCTGAACGTTACAACAATTCCAAATCAAGAAAAGCTTTCTACATACATTGCTAGAAGATTACACTTGAGACCGAAGACTTAACTAGTTGTCGCTAATCAAAAGCAGTCTGAGAATATGCTATTATGGCAAGATATTTCTGACTTCCCAAAACTAGTCAAGTTTATGATCTTTGGCAGTTATGTTGTGCAAAACTCGGGTTTCTTCTTGATTGTTAATCAGTCCCTCCCGCAACTGAATCATATTAAAATTAACTTTCGTCAAAAACTAACAACAAAGAATTGGTTGCAAGTCATGAGAAACATAATAGACTTGGCATGTTTGGCTAAGCTACATTTACAAAAAAGTTACTCATTTTGGAAGTAATTATTAGCGTAGTCTCAAAATAGGTTTCCAGCTTCTCTCGAGTAAACTTTTTAATGCATGGCAGCCAGAAAGATATGGAATCAGCATCTATGATAAAAAACTAAGCAAGTTTCATTAAAGAGAGTAGTATGTTATGTAAAAATGATTACAAGTTGCAATACCTAGAAATCCGATATCTGGAAATTCTAAAAATTTGGAAAAATTCAAAGACTATTATTTCTCAAACAATAGGGTCTAGTTAGTTTATGCAAACCTGTTCGAGGCATGTCCTAACATATAGTAAAATATAAGGAACCAACGATTAGATGAGAGCAGTGTTATTTACCTGCCGGAGGACCTTCTTTTGATAGCGGAATCCCTGTGAGATAAAATAAAAGAGCAGTATTGAGTTAGAATATCATCATTTTGAAGCCAAAACATATCAGCTAAATGAGAAGTTTGTATAACAACCTTGTCAGTCCCATAAATATAATCGCAATAGGTGAATACTGAAGCAAAATTACTCTGGCTTTGTCCGCCAACATAATGATGGTAATCATGGTAATCTGCGCCACCGTAAAATGGAATGTATTTTGTTGGAGTCCAAGGAAAGTCGTACCTATATACATGACAAGAAGTTAGAATCGACACGTGATGCCCATTTGCCTGCATTTTATTTTTGAAGAAATCACCTGAGGAATAAATGGGGGGAAAGGATGCTTTAAGTATGCTGAGTACAAGTAAACATGTGCATTTTCGCTTCCGATTGGAGCTTAACTATGTTGGCCACAAATTGAAGTCAACTATGGCCATGTCCTGTCATTATCTTTGGTACTTAAACAACTTAAACGTCTTCATTCAGTTCCATTCTTTTTGCATAAGAATTTCAAACCAAATTGGCTTAGATAAAATATAAACCAGATCATTATTGACTGGATATAACAGCATAGCTGATTTCATTCCTCCCGCATAGGCCAAGTTAAAGTTAGATCACAATGATTCACATTTGGAAGGGTTTGTCGTGCAAGTAGATATGTAAACAAGTAAACATTGTAAATTTTACATGAAAGCATGATATTCACCCAAAAAACAAAGAGAAGCAAGTTAACAATGCCAGAGGCAGTTGCCTACTAGAACACCAGGAAGAATGATAAAAGGAAAAAGGAGAGTAAGAATAAAGGCATAAAGAATTCATTTACCAAGAGAAAAACGGTTCAGAAAGAAGAAAATAATAAAGTACTTTTCACCATCCTTGCACACGAAAGTAAATCCACTATTATTGACATCACCCCATCAGTTCAATTCACTTTACAATGATAATAAGAAATTCCAAAAGCAAACAGTGAAAAAAAAGTGATTGAATGCTACTGTTAAGCCATCATTTGGTCAAATTAGCCAAAGTAATTAGATACATAACACTTAATTAAGCATAACACAACTTTTCACTAAAATAGAATAAAAGGCAGAGCATAAGCTTTAAGCATGCGTGCATTACCCACTGTGAGTCTCAATAGCCTCAATTTGCCTCAGTCCAATCCACATCCAGAAGGTTATCATGTGCCCCGGGGCGATGGCGGGCCCAAGAAACGAGGGAATCCCGAGGATCAAAATCTCCACCCAATGCGCATAAGGTGCTGCAAATCCAACTGGAGCTGTGTATTCATGATGCACCTTGTGAATCTTCTCATATCCCCACTTGCAATGCAGAAATCTATGGATCCAATAGTTTGTATAGTCCTCTATGATAAAATACACCCCCAATTGTGCTACGATTTCCCACATAGAAGGTAATGGCAAGCTCGTCCTAATCCCTATCATCTTCAACCATTGGCAAAACATGTACATTCAGCTTAGAAAATTAAATTCGAGAATAAACAATAGTACACTCTTTCAGATCAATGAACAAAATATAAGAGCAAAACATAAAAATTAAAAATCTTTTTAAGGGTCGCTCAATATCTATGAAACCAATAATCTACGCTTGAGCAATTCATCAAGTTCAAACAATAAGCAGATTCCAAGATTGGCATTCTCAATCGAGCTAAATGTAAATCCTCTGTTGCCGGAATGCCAAAAGAATTTGACTTTAAAATGAAATCTCAATAAAAATCTAAAAAGCCTTCTTCGTCAAAGAATTTGCCCTGTGGGATTCTGAAGTATTATTCTATTTAATTCACGAATCGCAATTAATTACAAAATTTTCCAAATGTACATACTTAATTGAAATTGAATACCTTAACAGACGGATAGGAGATGAGTTGGAGGGGACCCACAACGAGGAAGAACACGCGCATGACAGATTTGTAACAGCGAATGGAGTCAGAGAAGGAGAGCTTGACTTTGGGCTGGATTTTGTAAGGCTTAATTGAGTTACTGAAGAAGAATTCGAGGAAGAGATAGTAGTAGGGGAAAATGGAGAAAATGAGAAAGAGGAAAAGTATGTTATGGCAGTAGAGGAAGTAGTCTGATCTGGTGGCGGTGTAGTTGAACCATAAGGTTTCCGCCGCCGTGAGGGGCCGTCCCAAGGCGGCTTCAGCCTCTTGGATGGTTGTGTAGGACAACATTGGTGGAGGCGCTGTGGCGGAGGAATGGGGATTTCGGTGATCAAATAGGAAGTGACTGTGTGCGTGTTTAAATGGTCCGTCGGATGGAGAAGTGGACTGCAATTCTGAGTTTGGGGTGCAGTGGTGGAGGGAGGCTCAATTTAACAGGAAATTTGTTTGAAGGGACCACTCCAACTCACAACTTGACGTGGCAAAATATATCGGCTCCGGTTCTGATAAAAATCAATTTCCAGTAAGCCTATGTTTTATGACAATTATCTACTTTTTTTTTTTAAGTACTTATTTCAATTACACATTTGCACAGTCAAATATTTTGTACGTAAATTAAAAAAAATATAGTACGTATATTCAATGAAAAATTCCAGAGGTACAGGAAATTATTGACAAAAATTATACAGATGTTGCGTTAGCAGTATCTATATAATGCACTTTCTATATTTGTTGTATAAAAAATTAATGAAAAACCGCCAAATATTTTTTTATAAAAATTTTGTCAAAATTTTTTTTATACTTGTAGCAAAACCGATATTCAATAAAGACGAGTAATATTATTTAGTATCATTAGCGTTTAATATCAATCTATGTGACATCACTAATGATATCAAATGAAATGTTCAATTAAATGAATCATATAATTTCATTTTTAATTGTTAGACTTGTTTCTATTTTCAAACTGATTAAGAAAACTTAATTAATATATATTGAAAATAATTTTATTTAAATTTTTTCTAATATACCCCTACATTAATTAATGGTAGCTCATATTTGTTGATAACAAAGCATGTTGAATGGGGTATATTAGAGAATTAAGACATCAATTATACGAGTAATGTTTTTCATATTGAAAACTATCGATAGTCATACTATTGGCATACATGTGGGGATTTGTGACTTGATGACGGAAGTAGTAGAAAATATAATATTTTTTTGACATTTTTTTTTCCAAATATACCCCTATATTAAATAATGATTTAAATATGAGTATTTCATATTTGTGGATAACAATAGATATTAAATAGGAACATATTAAAAAATTAAAAAATCAATTATACTCTCGAAAGAAAAGTGACATATAATTTGGAATGGACAAAAAAGGAAAATAAACATATCTTTATGAGACGCAAGATGTAATATGGAGGGTTATTAATTATTCACTTTGATATGAATTTAATCAATTTTTTTAGTTCAACCAAAAGTGGTCCAAAATTTTGTTCATGTTGCATCTTTTAATTGGTAAAAATATTAATATATTTTAGACCTTGTTTGGTTTGGATTAAAACCAACTTGAAATTTTAAGTCAAAATCAACAATTAGTTTTAACCGCACATTTTATGGGTTCTAAAATTTTTCAACCACATATTTCTTCAAATTTTATCAAAATTTACTAAAAATTTAATTTAATCTGCACCAACAAGGGTTTAATTTATCTATCATGAGGTTTTTATTTTTAATGTGTCAAGCGTGACAATGTGTTTGGAAGAGCTTTTACAAAGCTCAACAGTCAAAAGCACTTGTTGGATGGCAAAAGTTGTTTTGATTTGAAACCATAGATTTTTAGGATCTGTTTCGCGATGTTTTTGAAAAGTTAAAAAATGTTTTTAATATTTAAAAATATCTTGTGAAAATATTTGGATAATTTTTAGAAGTGTTTTGTCGCGCCCCTTTTTCTACAATTTAGGGAAAAATGCTTTCCCACCATTTTCCAGTCTGACGTCTTTTTTTTTTGGCAGTGAAAACAAATTTCATAACCAGTTATAAATTTTTTTCACTTTAATGGACAATTTTCATGTAAAATAAAGTCAAACGAACACTATTTTGATTAAAAAAAATGATTTTTTAGGAAATATATATTTTTTTTCGTTTTTTTTTTACTTTTTGGCAATAGAAACAAATTTTATAACCAATTGTGAAAATAATTATCACTTTAATGGACAGTTTCCATATAAAACAAAATCAAACGAGTACAAAATTTAAAAATTTTCCAGGTGAAAAATTATAACAATCATACACATTTAATTAACAATTCCTTGCAAAAAATTTTCTAGACAATTATTTTCCATGTAATTCATTTTCTTTCTACTTATTTTCCACCATTGCAATCAAAATGACCCTTAGTTAAATTTACAAGCCCTTGTTGGTTTTAAAAAATAATTATTCTAAGTGGGTAATGCTATCTAGCTACTAATTAATGGATCATTCGATCTTGTATTTAAAAAAATATATCAATTAATGCGATTTAATTATCACTTAAAGTGAAGCTTAATATCCACTAGGTCGAATAGCATTACTCCTATCAAGTCGTTTTACATAAATCCGAATTTTGAACTTTCTTCAAAAAGCTTCACATCAACTTATACCGTAATGAGACTTTCAATTAACGAAATTAACCTCGATAATTTAATAAATTTCAAATTTATCCAAATTTTTTTTACACATCAATATAATGATGAAATATAACATTAATTTGTATATTTTTAATATTTTTTTGAAAGATTTATAACATGTTTTATCTTAATTATGTTTGGCCATTTGGGTAACCTAAAAAATTGACATATAAATAAACTTTAAATAAATAACTTATTTTCAAATTCAATTTTTGAAAATAATAAAATGAAAACTCCAGCTTACTTCTAAACTCACATTTTATGATATGCATGCTAAATTAATGATGCTGGAACGTTTTTAAATTCTTTAATTTTTTTTTATTATTTATTTATTTTGTCCCTTTCGAGTTGTTAAGTATTGGCTTTGAGCCTTTTGACATTGATGGATATCTTTGGAAGCTGATGCAATAACTTTTGCTAGTGGCTCTTTTACGGATTGTTTAGCCAGAAAAGGGTTTTATTTCATTTTATTTCTTAATGAACTTTCTCAATATTCATTAATTTAGCCAATAATGAACTTTTCTGGCTAAATTAAAGTTCAATATTAATTTAACCAAACATGCCCATAAAAAATAGAAAATGCACTTGAACTAATGATTTTACTAAAAAGCGACCTTTTTAGCAAAATAAATAAATAAATATTTTTTTTTGTGAAATTTTTACATTCATTTTATAATAAGTTATAATAAATGAAATCATAAAAACTCCTAATCAAAATGAGGAAATTTTCTAAAAAGTACCCAAAAAGAGTGGAAGTGAAAATACTTTTTGACAATTGAAACAAATTTTATAACCAATTGTAAAAATAATTATCATTTTAATGAACAATTTTCATATAAAATAAAGCCAAACGAACACAAAATTTAAAAATTTTCTGGGTGAAAAATTTTAACAATCAAATACACTTAATTAACAATTCCTTGCAAAAAATTTTCTAGACAATTATTTTCCATGGAATTCATTTTCTTTCTACCTATGTTCCACCCTTGCAATCAAAATGACCCTTAGTTAAATTTACAAGCGCTTGTTGGTTTTAAAAAATAATTATTCTAAGTGGGTAATGCTATCTAGCTACTAATTAATGGATCATTCGACCTTGTATTTAAAAATATATATCAATTAATGCTATTTAATTATCACTTAAATTGAAGCTTAGTATCCATTAGGTCGAATAGCATTACTCCTATCAAGTCGTTTTACATAAATCCGAATTTTGAACTTTCTTCAAAAAGCTTCACATCAACTTATATCGTAATGAGACTTTCAATTAACGAAATTAACCTCGATAATTTAATAAATTTCAAATTTATCCAAATTGTTTTACACATCAATATAATGATGAAATATAACATTAATTTGTATATTTTTAATATATTTTTTGAAAGATTTATAACATGTTTTATCTTAATTATTTTGTACTATTAATCATTTAAAGTCCATGTTTTGGCCATTTGGGTAACCTAAAAAATTGACATATAAATAAATTTTAAATAAATAACTTATTTTCAAATTCAATTTTTGAAAATAATATAATGAAAACTCCAGCTTACTTCTAAACTCACATTTTATGATATGCATGCTAAATTAATGATGATGGACCATTTTTAAATTCTTTAATTTTAAATTTTTTTTTTTTTGTCCCTTTCGAGTTGTTAAGTATTGGCTTTGAGCCTTTTGACATTGATGGATATCTTTGGAAGCTGATGCAATAACTTTTGCTAGTGGCTCTTTTTCGGATTGTTTAGCCAGAAAAGGGTTTTATTTATTTCATTTCATTTTATTTCTTAATGAACTTTCTCAATATTCATTAATTTAGCCAATAATGAACTATTCTGGCTAAATTAAAGTTCAATATTAATTTAACCAAACATGCCCATAAAAAATAGAAAATGCACTTGAACTAATGATTTTACTAAAAAGCGACCTTTTTAGCAAAATAAATAAATAAATATTTTTTTTTTGTGAAATTTTTACATTCATTTTATAATAAGTTATAATAAATGAAAGCATAAAAACTCCTAATCAAAATGAGGAAATTTTCTAAAATTTACCCAAAAAGAGTGGAAGTGAAAATAGGCATCTTTTTTTTTTTTTTTAACTTTCTTAAAAATTACCTCAAATTTTTAGTCAATAATTGAGAATTGAATAGGTAATCTTTACAAAGTTGATCTTATTACTTTCGACAACAAGCGCTCACGAACTATTTCATCTAATTTGCATCCAACTGAAATAAAATATTGATAGTCAGCTCTCTATCTGTCGGTCAAGAATCCACTATTTAAAGTGCAAATAAGGGGGGAGGGATAAATGTAATCTTTAGGTTTTATTGAAGTGGAAAACAGGTAAGTCAGACAGGATAAAAAGAAGAAAAGAGAAAGATTGATATCATTTTGCAAATGCAGCTTTCATTGACTACACTATGAAAATAATTATGGCCTTTAGAATGGGAAATTTATGAAGAGGGTCCAACAATCAACATCTTACTAGACAATGCAATAGAATTAATACATTCTCTATATTTTCTGAAAAAAAAAATGTGTAAATTAAAATTAAGGATGTAAATTCTAATTTGGGGGCAAATTGTTTCATCTTTCAAATTTTGCTATTTGATGAAGG